GCATTTGACCGCGTGGGGCAAGATATCTTACAGTTGGAGATTCGTCTCCAGCTATGCTGGAGAAACTTTTTGCCTCTGGGCAGAAAGGATACACAGACGAGCCTATGTCGAAGGCAGCGTCTCGTCTCAAGAAAAAGCTACCAGAACCCGTTTTATACGGGGTCTACATGAAATTTTTGGCCGAGCCTACGGGCTCGAGAACCCTACATTAAATCCGGCCTTGTGCCGCATCTGACCGCGTGGGACAAGATATCTTACAGTTGGAGATTCGTCTCCAGAAACTTTTTGCCTCTGGGCAGAAAGGATACACAGACGAGCCTATGTCGAAGTCAGCGTCTCGTCTCAGGAAACAGCTACCAGAACCCGTTTTATACGGGGTCTACGTGAAATTTTTGGCCTGGCCTACGGGCTAGGATATCTCTCATTAAATTCGGCCTTGTGCCACATCTGACCGCTTGGGGCGAGATCTCCTGCAGTTGGAGATTCGTCTCCAGCTATGCTGGTCAAACTTTCTGCCTCTGGGCTGAGAGGATCCACAGACGAGGGTATATGTCGAAGGGCAGAGTCTCGTCTTGGGAAACAGCTACCCGATCCCGTTTTATACGGGGTCTACGTTAAAGTTTTGGCTGGGTCTACGGGTTGGGATACCCGACATTAAATTCGGCCTTGTGCCACATCTGACCGCGTGGGCTGGTTGGTAGATATCCTTGGAGATTCATTGTGGAATTCACTTGACTTACTTGTATCATTTGTCTACTTTTTCTTCGCGCCATTCGTGGCCTAAGTATTATCGTTCATTACCAACATTATATGATTATTCTATTTAGTAACCTTCACTAGGTTATAACAATAATAAATAACGTTTTTCTTTAATGGTTTTCTTTCTTAATTCAGTCTAACGATGTCCACTGAAAACGATGGTTTTGTGCCAGACTAGAGTTATTATAGATAGTTTTTTTTCATATGCTTTTCAAATCTTAACCGTTCTTTAAAGAACGTCAGTACAGAAACGCTTATAGAATCGCATAGTCTTTTAGAAGTCTTTTGTTCGTATTTTTGTATTTAATATGATAAGAAAATGTTTCTGTCTCCTCTCGATGATTTTCTTTGCTTGTTTAACTCAGTTTTACAACAATGGCCAGACGGCTGTTTCCCGCGAAAATAAATGTCACTTACTGGCTGTGTCTTCCCGGGAGGATTTATGAAGCATGACTAATGAGATATGGACATTTAAGAGAAGGTTTTATGTCCGAAACGAGTCGCAACAAGCTGGGAATAACGACACACGCACTGTTTCCAATGAACCCGGGATTTTTATATCTCTTCAGTTGCCATTTCTCCCAACAGTATTAATCAAAATCGTAGAGGGTCAAGTTTCAGCAAGTCTATACAACATTCCGGTATCATCCGTAATAGGCTTGCATATTAAGTAAAGCTGTTTGCTGGATAGTTTTCCATCTTCGCCAGGCTTTCTTTATTTTGCTATTTTTTTCTTTTTCTAACATTTTCCCAAAGATTTCTGGCGCAAAGTTAAACACCCCAACAAGAGCCATTTATATAAAGACAGGATTGTTTCATCGTTATAACAGGAACATTATACTTTTCCAGTTATGAATTGTCGTCCATTTAGATTCAGGAGTCATCTTCAATATTAACATCAGCTATCAGACACGTTAGAATGTATATGAGATCAACAACGCCATTCCTAAGGGTTTTCTCCCTGTCTTTACTCTTCTTTTGAAATATTTTAATGATCTGCCTAAAAGTTTTATTCAGAACTTTAGGGAATATCTATGCAGATGATACAATCTTTTTATCAGAGTTCATCCAAACATCTTGATGACCACGACCTGTTTCCTGGGTGTGACGATAAACTACACCCGGTAGCAAAGCCTCAGATCAGGAGGTTTTGAAGAGCGTGGAACCAACTTTTAATTACCGTTGTTTCCAGGTTCATCCTGACCCGGAATGGTATCACTTGTTAGGGATCCAGCTATGGGCAAATAAATAACCCCAAAACTGAGGTCAAAAAAATTTGAAAGTATAAAAATAGTATAATTTTTTTTTTTTTTTACTAAAAATGCCTGCATTACATTTTGGGGAAAAAAATTGCCAGCACATTTGACTCTCCACAAAAAAACAAAAAAATCAAAAAAACTCTTTACAAAAATATGGCAATGAACCTTGTTCTGCAGACAGATTCCTGGCAAAGAATATATATTGTATTCATACGAATCCATCCAAAAATTCATGTCGGCATTAAATAACCCAATGAGGCTGATATGCCATAATACAAAATAAAGTAAACCAAACCAGGATCTGACAGCTGATCGAACTGAAGGGGATAGGGGCATGTTTGTAATACCTCTAAATATATGGTGCTACAGAAGGATGCTGAGGATAACATGGATCGAGCATGCTAGGAGCGACGAAGTAGAGGTTCTGGAATACATAATGAGGAAAGAGTGCTTGGGAAATCCGATACTCACGGTACAGATGGAGGACAAGTGGGACAGCGAAAAACTTGTACAACAGAATTTGAATCCGACATGTGTAATGTAAGCCTTCTTGAGAATGTAATCGAGAAATTGATCGAGGAATTAGAAAGGATTGAAATAAGAACATATTGACATTATATATGGAGATTATTCAACCAAATATATATATATATATATATATATATATATATATATATATATATATCCGATGCGATGAGAACGAAAGTAATATATAGATTTCAACGTTCACAGCATTAATCCAAAAGGGTTTCGATACCGATAGTATGGCTTTTAATTATTTATTTATTATAATTTTATCATATAGACAAAACCATTTTACTCACTACAAAGCTGCAACTTGAGTAAAATGGTTTGTCTATATGATAAAATTATAATATATATATATATATATATATATATATATATATATATATATATATATATATAGGGTTGGGTAAAATAATTGGAACAGTTGCAAAATCCAATCCCATATTTCAAAGACCTATTATATTAAGAACTTTAAAACTTCGTAATTACAGTTTAATCTATTGTAAATACGTTTATTTATCTAATTTACTGTCTTTGTCTTATTTATTTTTTAGAATTTAGTAAAATTTAAGCTAAATGCGTGACCTCTCCGAGTTCGAAAAAGAGCAAATTGTTGGAGCTCGCATGACAGGAGCCTCGATCACTAAGGTTGCTGAACTGTTTGGTTTTTCAAGAGCTACCATATCAAGAACACTGATGCAATTCGTGAAGCAGAACAAGACCTCTACGAACCGTAGCAATTCGGGCCGGACTTACAAACTTACTGACAGGGACTGACGTGCATTGAAACTCAATGTGGCAAAAAATCATCGGACAAAGGCAGCCAAAGATGGTGCAGAGATCACAATTCCTGGTCTGCAGACAAATGGAAGCAAGTCACATTCTCAAACAAGTCCAGTTTTTCTCTTTTCCCAACTGCAGGGAGAGTTTATGTGTGGAGGCCGCCCAAAGAAGCTTACAACCCTGACTGCCTTCTTCCAACAGTGAAGTATGGAGGTGGATCAGTGATAGTTTGGGCTGCCATATCATGGAGATGTCTCAGTCCAATAGTTGCCATGCATGGTAGAATCAACAGCAAAGATTGTCTGAACATTTTTGGAGATCATGTTCATCCAATGGCTAAGACTTTATTCAATGATGCTGACTGCATCTTCCAAGACGATAATGTTCCAATACATACCACTCGAGTGGTTAAGAATTGGTATGAAGAGCATGAAATTGAGCTAGAACACATGGAGTGGCCTCCCCAATCTCAAGATATCAATATTATTGAACATTTGTGGTGCATTTTGGAGCAACAAGTTAGGAGCCATTATCCTTCACCGTCGTGTCCTAAAGAGCTGGAGAAGGTTTTAATGGAAGAATGGCTGAAAATTCCCCTGGATGAAGTCAGGGAGCTGTATGATTCCATTCCTAGACGTATTAAAGCTGTCTGTAAGGCTAAAGGAGGACCAACTCCAAATTAAATAAATTTTCTTTGAATTTAACAAGTGTTCCAATTATTTTATCCAACCCCTGTATATATTGGTTCTATATACATAGATAATATACAGGATGTATCAAAAATATTTTTAAACTTTAGCGGGGGCGGGGGATCCTCACAATAAAACATACATCCGCAAATCATTCGATTCTGAGTCAAGTTTTAAAAAAAATTACGGTAGTTGGCGCTGTTTTTCTATATAGATTAGATTACATTTGTCATTCCTGTATATATGTAGTTAGTTTGTCTTCAACGTTTAACGCTTGTAATAGTGATTTAACCTAAAAGCGTCGCGTTTAACAATGGCATAATATTCATATCGTGAGCAGGCAGATATGATTTTAACATATAACCGCACGAGTTGTTATGGACACGAGGCTGCACAGCTCTATATAATTCCGTTTCTAGACTGAGGGCAGCTAAGTCATCCAAGTTTTGGTACTGTTTATTGTCGTGTTGCTAAGACAGGATCCGTGGTACCACAAATTATGGACCGAGGAAGTATAAGATTCGCTCGTACGGCTAAACACGCAAAACAAGCGCTGTCAAGTGACCCTATCATTTCGTGCATCTAATAGTACCGTATAGAGGGTACTTTAAGCGCATCTGTTGTATTCGTATCATTTGCAGCTTTTGCCGATGGTTTATTGAGCAAATTGCCGATTCGTTGTTTGTTTCTTTCGTCTTGTTTACGGATGCGGTAACATTTGGAGACAAAGTGACAAATTTAAAATACCGACATTTGTCTGCAGATCGAACTTTCAATGGTACAATACAGACTAGACATGTTTAGTTTTGCTTAATTTGGACGACAATTAATCTATCGTAAATGACTGACAAATACCGAGAGATGGAGACAGTGATACCTGAAATAGACTAATATATAGATAGATGAAAATTAGTATAGATAGACAGAAATATATGAACAGGTCGAGATAGATAGATACATATGAGCAGAACGATATATATGTTTATATAGATAGATAGATAGATAGATAGATAGATAGATAGATAGATAGATAGAAGATATGAAGACACCAAGACAGACAGAAATAAATAAACAAACTGATATAGATAAGGAGGTACAGATAGACAGAGATGGATATAACCGGACCGAGATATATATATATATATATATATATATATATATATATATATATATATAGATAGATAGATAGATAGATAGATAGATAGATGTTGCTGTTCATACTAAAATAAATATATTTGTGAAAGACGCACGCATTTTGAGTGCTTCCTTAAAATATATAAGCCAAAATGCATTAATAAATAGCAAAGAATCCATTTTTCACTGCATCACTTCAAGGAAAACAGAGTTTGCTGGCCTTCATTTCCCCGCACCCAGTACACCTCCACCTGTAACGCCGCTTCTTCTTACTTTGTCAACACTGACGAACGTTGAGGTTAATCCTAGATTATGACTCAAATAGAATGCCAACTTCTGGCTTGTTAGAGAAATTCCAGCGTGCTTACTTTATATCAGATGCGCATTTGATAAATCCGGCCTTTAATCTCTGTACTGGGACTCAGTATACTTTCCTACGCTTCGCTGTCTCTTGCTTCTGATGTAAATATAGACACACTTTGGTCGGCCGGGTGGATGAGATAGTTGCGTATTTTCTAGTGGAATCACGGAGCAAGCATTCCCCGGAACTATTTGCATTTCTTCCACAGTATTTTTTCCATAGTTCCAGTATGTCACAGTTCCATTTCAAGTAAAAAAAAAAACGCTTTGTAATATACTATTTACATTATTCGGACTATTGTCCTCATCCTTGTCGCCATATTTATTACAACGTTTCGGCCGTTAAACGCTCCGGCCTTCCTCAGTATCTGTCTATATTTCTGAGATGAGGTATTATGTACACTTTTTACATTATTCAGACTATTGTGCTCATCTTTGTCGCCATATTTATTACAACGTTTCTGCCGTCATACGCTCCGGCCTTCCTCAGTATCTGTCTACATTTCTGAGATGAGGTATTATGTACAATATTTGCATTATTCGAACTACTGTCATCATCTTTGCCGCGATATTTATTACAACGTTTCTGCCGTCATACGCTCCGGCCTTCCTCAGTATCTGTCTATATTTCTGAGATGAGATATTATGTACACTATTTACATTATTCAGACTATTGTCCTCATCTGTGTTGCCATATTTATTACAACGTTCGGCCGGTATACGCTCCGGCTTTCTTCAGCATCTGTCTATATTTCTGAGATGAGGTATTATGCACACTATTTACATTATTCGGACTACTGTCCTCATCTTTGTTGCCGTATTTATTACAACGGTTCGGCCGTTGTATGCTCCGGCATTCTTCAGGTTGTTGGAATGTCGAACTGAACCCTTTATTTCGCTCACTGGAATAGACTGTTCTAGTTCCAAGTGTCTTGTTTAATGGATGTCAGTTATCTCCTGTTAATTTCCCCCTCCAAGTTCTCCCCCTGCTTTAATCTTCAGTATCTGTCTATATTTTTGAAATGAGGTATTATGTAAACTATTTACATTATTCGGACTATTATCTTCATCTTTGTCGCCATATTTATTACAACGTTTCGGCCGTTGTACGCTCCCGTCTTCTTCAGTTGCTTGAACACATGAAATCGAAATATAGACGAATGCTTTGTAATATGTTTAAAGTTGGCAGGCTATGGAAGATGTTCGTACACGTTCTTCTGTTTAGTCTGAGAAATTTTGCATAGCTTATAATATATCAGTGTTGCAGCTCGGTGGAGACATTAGGTTCGTTCTCAGGATGCAGCTTCTTCCCATCAAACATCGTAGCTTCAACCTTCTGAGGAGCGAGACAGATGTGAAGCGTCTTGACGGCGGAGAGAAGAACAGTATAACAGGCATGTTTTCATTGTCGACTCGCAGGAAGCGCTCTCTTGTCCCTCTCTATGCTTTTTTGTGGTTTTGCTGTTAGGAACAACTCTCTCATAGAGAACATCGTTCTTTGTCATGTAAGTAAACTCTGAATAATGTAATTCAACAAGAACTAAAGGTTATGTTTCATTCAGAGATCTCCTTTGTCAGGATCGTTTGACCTGGTATATTCGGAGGTATCTTGACGAATATATAAGCTATCCCTTCTTGAGGTAGATGATTATTTTAATCTCACATTCCCCGGAGAATAATTTTAATTCTGTCAGTTGGATTCTTGATCCAGCATAAACTATTGCTGTTATTGTAGAACAGTCATGATTAAATGCGGACCGAAACTTCGCCTGTCCTAGGTAAGACGATAAACTACATCCGTGTCCTGGATAAGATTATAAACTACATCCAACAGCAAGGCCTTTGATCATGATGTTTTGAAAAGCATGAAGCCACCTCTTAATTGCTGGTGTTCCCAGGTCAACCCTTCCCCTGGGTGGTAGCAGCTGTCTGGGTCCTAGCTATAGTTAATGTTGTGGCAACCACTCCTACAGTAATATGAACTCTTCCTCCTCTCATAAATACTAACTGCGAGACTTCCAAGCAAGAGTCGTAGGGCAGCGGAAACGCATTGTTAACCTACTCTTCGAACGTAAACCTCTATCTGCTTTTTACTAGCACTCTTGCTTTGTATATATCTGTTATTTCAATACACTTGTTCTACCTACCTTCGTCTTCCTTGTCTTTCTTTCTGGACTCTAAACAGGCCACAACAGGTACCCCTCCCCCAAAGAGGTCAAAACCCTATAAAATAGGTTTATATACAAGCAATACTTTTTGGAAAAATTATTAACACCAGTACATTTTTGAAAAAGAAAAAAAAATTACCAGCAATACATTTTTGTAAAAAAAATATATATATTACCAGCAATAAAAATCTTTGTCAGAATTAAATAACCCATCGAGGTTGATATACCGTAAAATAACCCCCAGATACGAAACAGACCAAACCGAAACTTCATGCGGCCCGACAGGTTTTCGTAATGGCACGACTAACTTGAAGAAAATAATATTTATTTAAATACTGTTTTTGTCCTTTCGTTCTCAATCGTTCATTCAGACACGCTCATGAATGAACACACACATAAACAATGATTGAGTAGAATGTTCTTTGAATTTTGTAACTTATCGTTGAAGGTAACATAGTCAGCATTTTAAACCATTGGCGATTTTCAGTAAGTAAGATCATACGTGCAAATTTTTTTTGGCTTCTGAAACAAGAAACATCAATGATAATATATTTCTCTCGATAATTTTCTTACGAATATTTTATATACTCAAATTAATGAATTAAGAACAAATCACATGCAGCAGAATGTTTTAATCACTTTGTCATCAGTGATAATATTTTACCAAGATTCCTTTGTTTTTTTTAATTATATAGTAAGTTCCAATAAATTGGACCGATTTTAAATGTGACTTAAGTTTAAGGGTCTAAAGATTTGTTTCTTTGTTTTTCAGATTTAACAACTTAAGTTTTTATCAATTTCAACCATGGAAAGATTAACAATCAAACAACGTGTTAAAGTTATCACTTCTTTCTTTATTCATGTCTCTTCATTGTAGTGATTTTCTGACATTATTATTTTTTACTCTATTACTTAAAAATTGAAAACTGAAATGAATAAATACAAATAAACAAAATAATATGAAAAATAAAAAAAACACTTAAAATAAATTAACCCAAACAAATAAACAAATTAATAAACAGCTCCCGTTAGAATAGACGAAAAAGAATAAATAAAAATAAAATACATAAAAAAAAACAAGTAAAAATAATCAACCCAAATAAATAAATAAATAAAGGAAATAATAATAAACAAATTAAAAAAACCAATCCCGCCAAAATAACCTTTAGAATAAACCTCAAAAACTAGTCAAAAAAAAGTAGACGTAAATATAGCTGTAACTACTATATAACGATAAAAAAAAAACATTAATAGGTTACTCAAAAATCGAAAACCAAATAGAGTAAAATATACAAAATAAAAAATAAGTAAAAAAAAAACAAATGAAAATTAAACCAAATAAATGAACAAATTAACAAATCGCCCCCGCTAAAATAACCATTAGAACTAAAATAAGCATAAATAAGCAAAAACAAGTAAAAATAATAAATTCAAATAAATGAATAAATCAAAAACTGTCCTCGCCCCCGCCAAAATAACAGAATCGACTACGCCAAACAATCTAAATATTGAACTAATAAATAGCTTTATCTTCCCAGATCAAAACAAAGAAAAAAAAACATCAAAAACTGGAAAGAATAAATAATATAAAATTAAAATGAAAAACAAACAAATTAACCCAAACAAATAAATGAATAAATAAACAAACAAGCCACTTCCGCTTAAATAGCCACCAGTATAGATTACCCACAATGCACCACTGACCCATATGTATATAAATAGTCAAGTAAAAAAAAAACATTCGCGACCTGATGATTGCGCCTAGCATGAAACAGCCTGTCACCTCTGGGTGTTGACTTCAATGTTGCGCAAATATATATATATATATATATATATATATATATATATATATATATACGTACATATATCTCTCTATATATATAATTAACAATAGAATTTAAAATTACTTCATATGGCGAATAGCCTATTCAAGTAGACGACGATATCAGTCATCTGTGTTATCAACCCTGGTATTGACTGAATTCGTGTATTTAAATTTATTCACTTATTAAATTCTATTTCCCGCCCCTCCTAACTCTATAGACACGAACTCAGTCCATGCCGGGGTTGATAAGACAGAAGACCGATATCTTCGTCTGCTGAAATAGGCTTTTCCCCATATGAGGTAATTAAGGATTTTATTGTTTATTAATTATTTCCTCTGTAATAATAAATATACTAAGGTCTTTTAGTTGATCAGTTTTAATATTTAATATTACAACGATCCACTTGGATTATATACCAACGGATTTGATACCTTTACACACACACACTCTCTCTCTCTCTCTCTCTCTATATATATATATATATATATATATATATATATATAAAGAAATAAATTAAATACCACATATTTTAAATTTAGCTGTTTAAGAGTAATTTTCCGGTAGGATTCGAACCTGCGTCCTTTAAATCTAACCTCCCGACCACGTAGGACGTCTCAATCAAACAAAGCCCAAAGAGTGCTTTTGAACATATCATTCCCGATTCTTCAAATATACATATCTAGTATGTTTCATATCCTAACGTAAACAAAGACATTTTTTTAGGAAATGGATTTAATCCGACATTTTTAAATTCGTTTAAACGTTTTTGTAATGGATACAAATATTTGAATAGAGGCTCTCTTTTTATTATTAAACAGATTATATATTTATTTGCATCTATCAGCCTGAATGTTCGAAGAATCTTTATAGAAAAATATGAGCCCTTTTTAGATCTGACGTGCATTCACTCTCGGCAACGTATGACCACCAGATCAAATTAAGCACTTCAAATCTAATGACATTTTTCCCTAAGGGATGCAGATTCGTATCCTGCTAGAGGGCGCATATTTTTTCTAACAAGATTTCAAGCATGTTTCCAATTTTAATAAACATTCACTTGTCCAAATTTCTTCGATATATACTCAGTTTCTTATCCGAAACTCAAACAAACCAGCTTCTGAAGAATTATATCAGTTCACTAGTTAACCTGATATATTTTTATTTTATATATATATATATTTAATTAATTCATCGAGTTGATAAAACATCTACAGAATGCAGAAAGCACTTTTCGTCCTATATTTGGGACTCATCAGCAGTGCGCATCCACTACCGAGAATTGAAACCCTGACAGTTAAAGCTGACATCATCCTCCGATTAATTACTAATTGTCTTTATCATCGCTTGAACCGGCTTCTAATGCTACAGTAGGTAGCGGCTTGGTGATAGTAGTCGTGGCTCCAGGGGGCACAGTCCTACGGCAATAGCGAATCTCAGTCGAGTTCCACCACGGAATATGTGAGCGAGCGGCGCTTTGTTGAGTCTGATTTGGAATCTCTTCGTCACCGAGGCCCACTTGGGACAGTTGGTATGATGTCAGCTTAACAACCTCACTGTCAGGGTTTCAATTCTCGGTGGTGGATGCGCGCTGCTGATGAGTCCCAAATATAGGACGAAACGGCCGTCCAGTGCTTTCTGCATTCTGTAGATGTTTCTGTCAGACTCGATGAATTAATTAAATTTATCAAATCCTCCGATTAATTACTTATATATATATATATATATATATATATATATCAAAAGTGAAAATATTTTAAATCGTAGTTATTCTAACCTAAACATCCCCCAAAAATCTTTAAATTTACAAATAGAAAAAAATGCCGTAAGAATTTTTGCCGTTAACAATAAAATTTTTAAAAATCCATACGACATGCATTTAACGAATGATAGATTTCATTGAAATATACATCCCTACCGCATACCAAAACGTAACTAATAACTGATACATCAAAATACAGCGATAATGAACACGCAGACACCCCTTGTCTAGTGGAAGTGGATTCATCTGTAACCTTGGAAACGTGAATTATGATTTTAGCTGTGTCTTTAAAACCCAGTAATTTTAAAAGTTACTCCAAAATTCGCTTGACGATGAAATAGAAATAATGTCCTTAATTTAATTACAAAATTAAATTCGGAGCTTTTAGCTTCCATTTTTGAAACATGGTTACAACTGTGTTGCGAAAAAAACATATTTTAAATCAATTAATTTATAATATATATATATATGTAGTGAAATTGGGAAAGAGAATTAGACAGAAAATGTGTGTATGAAAGAGTGTGAATGTGATGAAATATATATATATATATATATATATATATATATATATATATATATATATATATATATATATATATATATATATATAGATATGTATGATAGATAGATAGATAGATAGATAGATAGTGAAATTGGGAAAGAGAAATAGACAGAAATTGTGTGTGTGATATATATATATATATATATATATATATATATATATATATATAATTGTGGAAATTGTAAAAGAGAAATTGAGAGAAAGTTTGTGTCTCTGTGTATGTGTCTGTGAGAGAGTGTGAATGCCATGTGATATATATATATATATATACATATACAGAGAGAGAGAGAGAGAGAGAGAGAAAGAGAGAAAGAGAGATAGAGATAAAGAATGGAAGAAAGCAAATTTATTGATGAGAAAGCAGCTTCGCTCTGAGAGGAAATTGCCTTTTGCGTGGATGTATTGAAGGTCAGAGTAAAAACCTTTTTTTTTTCTCTCTCGTGCAAGACGTTTACGTCTCTCATTCTGACATGACGCTCTGATGTTCTGCCAGGCTGAACGAGTCAGTGTTGGCAAGTGGACAGGTTCCCGGTAGCGTTTGAAGCGGCATTTTTTTTTTTTTTTGAAGACGTAAGGCAATGGTCTGGAAAGAGAGAGACAGAATAGCACCGAAAGAGAGAAATATGCTGAGTAAAGGTGATGTTTATTTATTGACTTCATACCTTCTTGCTACTTCAACTCCCACTCTTATATTTGCTACTTGATGTGTGCTTTGTTTTAACCTACCGTCGTCTTTTGGCAGAACTGTATTCTCATTGTTTTATTTTGCTCATTCTTAAGATTTTCTTTGACGTCTTTCCGAGTTTCTGGTTTTTCCTTCTTTACTGTCAATCTCTTCCCTGACACTACAAGCATTTGTCTTATTTTTTTTCTAATTTCTCACCTTTTTGAGTATTATTAACTTATTTTCCCCCAATTTTATAATCAGCGATCTATGAAAACAAAACATTTTTATTTAATGTTTTTATTTCATTTGGTTCTTAATTTTCAGTTGACTTTTCTGTTGTTTTCCTTTCTTAATTTCTCTTCTTTTAATATTATTTTTCCTTTTTTCGATTTTATTTTCCATCGCTTTCTTTTCGTATCCATTCCATATTTTATTATTTACTTATCTTTCGAAATTATTTTTCATCATGATTTTTTTTTTTTTTCCAATTTCTCTTCGAGTGATTCTCCTTTCTTCTTTCTTGACTTCATTTTTTATCAAAACTTTTATTCTATCTCTTTATATTCGTTTCCATCATTTACTTTTTTCCACTTTTTGTTTCTTATTTTTCTGTCGTATTTGTTTTCTACCATATGCATTTCTTCATGACGTCATATTCATTAATTTTCTCTCCTTCCCACATTCCTTTCTTTCATTTCCTTTTTTCTTCTTTCTTTTCTTTCGCTTCCCTTCTCTTTTTTTTTCCACAGTGAGTTGTTTTCTGTTATCTTATCCAAATTTATTTTCTATATTTTTATTTTTCTTCTTATTCTTCTCCAAAATTATTTTTTATATTCTTCTTCTTCAAAATTATTTCTATAGTTTCTTTTTTTCTTCTTCTTCAACTCACAAATTCTTTTTATAGTCTTCTTCTTCTTCATCTTTTTCTACTTCTTTTTTCTTTTTTCTCCTTCTTCTTCTTCTTCTTCTTCTTCAAAATTCTTTTTTAAATTCTTCTTCTTCTTCTTCAAAAATAATTTCTATTGTCGTCTTTTTCCTTCTTCTTTCTGCTTCAAAATTCTTTTTAGTCTTCTAATTTTTCTTTTTTCTTCTGCTCCAAAATACCCTTTATGATCTTCTCCTTTTTCTTCTTCTTCTTATAAATTATTTTCTATCGTTTTCTTCTTTTTCTTTTTCTTCTGCTCCTAAATTCTTTTTTGATTCTTCTTCTTCTTCTTCTTCTTCTTCTTCTTCTTCTTCTTCTTCTTCCAGATTATTTATATTCTTTTTTCTTCTTTTTCTACTGTTCCTAATTTTTTTTATAGTCTTCTTCTTCTTCTTCTTCTTCTTCCTCTTCTTCTTCTTCTTCTTCTTCTTCTTCAAAGTCCTTTTTTATATTCTTCTTCTTGAAATTATTTCTATTGTCCTTTTTCCTTCTTCTTCAACTCACAAATTATTGTTATAGTCTTCTTCTTCATCATCTTTTTCTACATATTCTTTTTTCTTCTTTTTTTTCTTCTTCTTCTACTTCTTCTGCTTCAAAATTCATTTTTACATTCTTCTTCTTGTTCAAAATAATTACTATCATCATCTTTCTGCTTCAAAATTGTTTTTTAGTCTTCTACTTTTTCTTTTTTCTTCTGCTCTCTTTATGATCTTCTCCTTCTTCTTCTTCTTCTTCTTCTTCTTCTTCTTCTTCTTCTTCTTCTTCCATATTTTTTATAGTCTTATTTTTCTTCTTCTTTTTCTACTGCTCCGAAATTCTTCTTTATAGTCTTCTTCCTCATCTTTCCACTTCAAAACTCTTTTTTTATATACTTTTCTTCTTTCTGCCATAAAATTTCTTTCTTTAGTCTTTTTATTCCTTCCCTATCTTCTGCTTCCATTTCTCATTCATGACACTTACTGTTACTTGCTGAATCCAACCGAAGCTCGAATTACCTTACTTCAAAATCCCAAATGAGAAATACCTGAATATCTCTATTGAAAATCCGCTTTTATAAACATGATTATTATCATCTGAGCTTGAACACTGCTGTCACCGAGAGTAAAAACCTAACATATTCTCAACTACAATTACCCATATAAGATTACAGATTGGAGACTGACCGCATTTCGTGGTATAATACGACGTTTCTATAATACGACCCTGTGTTTCTGAAGCTAAAAACAATATATAAATTACACTGTTGAGTATAATACAAAACCTTAGTACAGCCATCCATATTTCATTTTTAAATTTTACCATTTTATTATCGAGTAAAATATCAATGTCATATATTTCATTAAATTATTTAATTGTTCACAATATTAAAGAATATATATTATAAGTTGCTTCGTCTAATTTCCGTGTCAAAACTTATTTTCGAATTATTTCAGAAAGGTGCGAAGTAGACATACACAGTAATACATTTTAACGTGTTAATTAATGTATCATAATTTTCACTTTGATGTGATTTCGTTATAATTCTCCCTATCTACGCCTGTGGGGAGACTTGGTTGGCAACGGCCTGAAAAAGCATGTCACATAGAAGAAGAATATATGTATGAATATATGTAATAAATTTTTTTTAAAAAGTGCTGTCTTTCATTGTTTTTCATTATGAATGAAGAGATGAAACGTAAAAAAAGAAAAAAGAAAATTAAAGTATGAACGGGAACGAACGAACGTTCAATTACAAGAAGAAGAAGAAGAAGAAGAAGAAGGGGGAGAAAGAGAAGAAGAAGAAGAAGAAGGGGGAGAAAGAGAAGAAGAAGAAGAAGAAGAAGAAGGGGGAGAAAGAGAAGAAGAAGAAGAAGAAGAAAGAGAAGAAGAAAGAGGAAGAGAATAATAATAATAATAATAATTTTAAGAAGAAGAAGAAGAAGAAGGGGAAAGATAATAAGAATAATAATAATTTTAAGAAAGAAGAAGAAAGAAAATAATAATAATAATAATAAGAAGAAGAAGAAGAAGAAAAGAAAGAACAAGAAGAAGAAAATAAGACTTTAAGAAGAAGAAGGAAGAAGAAGAAGAAAAGAAGAAGAAGAAGAGGAGAAAAGAGAAAGAAGAAAAAAGAGAAGAAGAAGATGAATTTTAAGAAAAGAAGAAGAAGAAGGGAAAAGGGAAGAAGAAGAAAGAGAAGAAGAATAAGAATAATAATAATAATAATAATTTTAAAGAAGAAGAAGAAGAAGAAGAAGAAGAAAGAGAACAAGAAGAAGAAAGAAGACGGAGGAAGAAGAGGAGAAAGATAAGATGAAGAAAAGAAGAAGAAGGGGGAGAATAATAATAATAATAATAATAATAATAATAATAATAATAATAATAATAAAAACGAAGAAGAAGTAGAAGAAGAAGAAGAAGAGAAGATGAAAAAGCGGGAGAAAGATAATAAGAAGAAACAGGAAGAGAAGGAGAATAATAATGATAATAATAATAATAATAATAATAATAATAATAAGAAGAAGAAGAAGAAGAAGAAGAAGAACAACAACAACAACAAGACCAAAGAACAAGAAGAACCAGAAGAAGAAGAAGAAGAAAGAAAGTTCAGAAGAAGAAGAGGAAGAAGAAGGATGAGGAGGAGGAGAAAGAGGAGAAAGTGTAGAAGAAGAAGAAGAAGAAGAAGAAGAAGAAAGAGGAAGAGGAAGAAAGAGGAAGAGGAAGAAAGAGGAAGAGGAAGTGAAGAAAAAGGAGAAGAATTATTGCTGATGTATAAGATATTTTGTAAGCAATAGATATCAACATTTCCGTATTTGTGTTTTATCTATTGTGCTAACTGAGTTTATTTGCAATCTTAATGTTTGAAATTTTAGGGTTTTTAATTTGGGTAAAAAAACGTGTACTTGCCTTTAATACGACACATTTTTTTTTCATTCAGAATCTCTGGCATTATGCACAAATATATTTAGTATTTGATTTTATCTGAAATGGTCCTTTAACATATTTAAAGTATAAGTCTCCACATGATTCTTTTTGTTTATTATCTGGAATTGGCCATGACTTCTTGAGAAAGACAATGAAATGAGTTCCATTTTCTTTCACCATGGTTTTGAATTCAGACTCGTTTCTCTTCTTTCATGGCATAAACACTCATGGTTTATTCACAGCTTCCTATTCTCTTATTATACGTTGCCATTAATTATTAAAATAAACGGGTGGTTTTCCCAATACCTTATCTACTGCGCTGAACTTTCGTAGTCCTCCTAGGATGGCGGGCACTGAAATCCTGCGATTCAACAGAAAGACAAGCAGGAAGAAATGTTTTCATACCTTTGCCGGTGGCATCAGTGCTAATAACCGTAATGCTAACAAACATCTAGCTATGTCAGCTAATCTTTTTTAATCATTTCACCCCAAACAAATCGGTAAGGCCACTAGTAAGCACGGGTTAGAGAGTGTGAAAGTGAGAGAGAAGACTGAGGATAGGGAGGATTAAGGAAAGGATGAACGCGATTCAAGAAAACAGACGACAGTGAAGATTGTAGTTATCAGCTAAACAAGGAAACAAAAGAGAGTTCAACTAGTGGGTAGTGTTTAAAAGGGTGTTGTAGTAGAATTAGCTATTTCAACAGTAAAACCATGGGACTTATTTTCCAAATTATTAGCACGCTTAAATGCAGGTAGACAGGGCAGAAGAGAGAAAAAAATCGCTGGTGCAGTTGCCATAGAAATATCTATAGAAAATATAGAGGGAATACAGGTCACGTCGCTGAGAAAGTGACTGAAGTCAAAGAAGCCAATTCAGAATCGATTACATTACAGATCCTTCTTTGGATTTTGTCAAGAATACAAAATATTATGAATACTGAGCATTTCCTTATGAATAAACGGCTAATATTACGAATACCATTAAGAATAAGTATGAGAGGAAGCACATTTTAGCAAAGGATAGCGGCTCGGATTGAGGAATCGGAGAGCCGAGTTCGAATTCCAGTCAAATATATTACATTCCAGGACGTGCTAATAGCCTCGGGACAGGTATGAATCTTCTTCTTCTCCCCTCCAGCTATTGGTAAATAGCAGGACAGACCGATTTCGATAGCCTTGCAACTGGTCTACTACAAAAAATCATGGCAACCTACTGCGGGGAAAAAAATCTGCCTCGTCAGTCATGTAGCGAAAGAGACATGATTGCCTAAGCGTGTATCATGCATGGCATATAACTGTCTGATGAGACATACTATCCATGACAACACCTGCACATCCGATCTTATAGCAACTGGTATTTACAAGTGGTCACCCATCGAAGTAATGACCAGACTTTACATTGCTTAACTTCGATTGTAAGAGAAACTGCGTTTCAACGTGATGTGGCCGTAGCCCTATGAAGTAAAGTTCCACTGACCATGTCTAGGGACATCTCGTCTAATTCTCAGTCTAGTGCTCAGATAATTCTCACGATGAGTCGAAATATACATCGCGCGGCCCAGGGATTGAACAGACAAGGACAACGTCATCAAAGTCACGACTCAACGCTTTCATCGACCATTGTCGCGTAGTTCGTGGGAAATCAATGACAACAGAGCTAGGAATAAGTAAGAAGTACTAAAAATAGGGATGTTTCATTAAGACGGATCAAATTCAATACTAAATAAATCAGTATTATTGGTGGAAATTTATTCATTTCTCTATTGAATCATGTTATTTAAGTCATGAAAATTAGGTGTAAAAAATAATATCACCCAAATGTCCGCCAAATCTGAAAGAGAAAAAAATCATTTGACATTTAGTGACTATTAGTAATTATATAATCCAAAAGATAGGGATAGAAGAAAATATATATATATATATATATATATATATATATATATATATATATATATATATATATATATATATATATATTAAATATACATACATGTGCAAAATATATAAATACCCATACAGGTATATTTTCAGAAAAAATTCCAAAAGGAAGAATCCAGGTAGAACTCAATGTCTAGGACAGAGTAAGGATATAATAAAAGGCTTAAACACTAATATATATATATATATATATATATATATATATATATATATGAACATACACACACACAGATATATATACACACACGCACACAAACACACACACACACACACACACACATATATATATATATATATATATATATATATATATATATATATATATATATATATATAAAGTGTGATTCATCAAGACGGATTATATACATAAGTGTGTTTCATTAAGACGGATCAAAGTCAGCAGTAAATAGATCAGTGTTATTGATGAAAAAGTATTTTATTTTTCTATTGGATCATGTTATTTAAGTCATAGCAATTATGCGTGAAAAATAATATCGCCTAAATGTCCGCCAAGGCTTCGGCGGTACATCTCTACACGATCGTCAAATTTTTTTGATGCCGTATCTGCACAGTTGCTCCTCGATCTCACCAATATGCCTTATTATCTCATCCTTCAGCTGTTGAATTGTTGTTGGCTTGTTGGCATAGACCTTACTTTTGAGATGACCCCCAAAGGAAGAAATCTAAAGGCGTCAAGTCGCACGATCGTGGTGGCCAATTGACTTCACTGTTTGCAGAGATGATGCGACCTGGGAAATTCTCTTTGCATTTCTGTTTGAAGGTTCATTTTATAGTAGATTTATTTGAATATCAAATCATTTAATATTATTTATGTCATACTTTTAATTGTTGAAATATGAACGAAATTGCTTTACTAACATTACATATTTGTTCCTTTTCGCCTATTTAACATCGGAAATATAAAGGGTTTTTCATTAAATAGGATTATGTATAATGACGTTTCATTAAGTCGGATCAAAGTCACCAGTAAATAAATCAGTTTCATTGTTGAAAATTTACTTATTTTACTATTGGATCCTGTTATTTAAGTCATGGCGATTATGTGTGAAAAATAATATCGCCCAAATTTCTGCCAAATCTGAAGGAG